TTCACCACAATTTTGGTAAAATTAATGTTGAAATGAAGAATATATTTCAGTCTAATGTTAGTGCAAAATATCATTAGGCCTTTGTAATCACCGCACGACGCGCGACTAATATGACAACCAACACGCGCGTGGGTAAATCGTCCCGTACGCTGACGGTTTTTGGTCTGGTTGCTATGGTTTTTGTGACGTTCAGCGTGTAGAAACGCACGTGCGCCTAGAATGTCGATGCCAGAGTTATAACCTTTGATGTTCCGAGATGTGCGTCCTTTTGTTGAATTACCTTGGATTACCTTATACGTCTGTCATTTTGATAATGTTTTCAGTTTCTTAGATGCAATAGACAACATATTGTGCAGAGTCGTCCAGTTTTACATTCACATTCGGACGGAATATATCAGACGCTTTGGTAATAATGCACGCTACATATATCTTTTTAGTCAAATAGCCGGTACCTCTACTAGCAACAAGGTACGTACGTCACCGCCCATTTCCGTCATGTGATACTCAGTCTGCAAATTAATGCGGAAAATAATTAAAACTGTTCTTTCATAACATTTATTTGGTACAAAATGCTTGCAATAACCATTGATTATGAATACAATGCAAGCCATTATTAAAGTTAAGTCCGACAATATTTTCGTGTTGTGTTGTAGCTTTGTATTGTATATTAGCCATTCCGACCCTATCCAGTGTCAGTCGTAGTGGTGCTGAAGTAAACCAAAGTTCCGCGTATTTGCATTAAAATTGATGGAACATCCGCCCTCCCGCGAGCGGGGTAAAATTTGACCATTTGACTGAGTGGAGCAACTAGAGGAAACCAGCATCTTTACTACTGTACTGATGTATAGCGCCGCTCCGCGGACGGAGTAAAATTGCTCTCCGTGTACCCCAATGCATTTCGACCGGATGTTCCACTATATTGGGAAGCTGCTCTATCTTCTGCTATCTACTATCGAGTAAACGAACTTATTACTCACCCGAAGTACTGTATTGGATATTTCAGCTCCATTCCCCTGAGCCCTGTTCACATCTGGCTTTGTATTCTGAAATATCCAATGCAGTAAACAATAAAATACAATGTTTTCTTCCTTTGTGACAAATGTGTACAGTATATATGTTCACAAAAACAATTGGAGGCGTTTCGCAAATCTAAAAATTCGGGTACATTCATGAATCGCATTACTGTAAATTTATTTACATACTTGTACCAAATCCGTATGATAGCGCACTGAGCTAACGTCACTATCAATGCAGCATGATACTATTACTAGTCCAGTCGTAACAATCCACATCATGCCATCACATGCAGTCCATCCATACTGCACCAGGAGACACGGGAAGAAGTTGAGGTCATTCATCTCGTCCATTCCATTTGGATTCACTCAGTCAAATTGTGCAATAGAAAGAGAATCCTTAATATTAATATCATTAAATTGTGCTTATACATACACATACAAATATACATATATTAGGCCTATATACACAAATACACATGCATATACATTCAAATACACATACAAATATGTACATATACGAAGGCAAGTCGCGCGTAAATGCTGCGCGCATGCAGGCATGCTATAGTAGCTCCCACACTTCAGTCTCTGAAAGAAAGAATGGAAATCAAATTTAATGCAACAAAACGCATCAGGTTTGAGAATAAATTAAATCTAAGGGTCATTAAAAAAGTAATACTCTCGGATTAGAGTAAATGGCTCCACAATAAGCTCGATCCCTCTGGCTACAATAAGGGCTAAGGACGACTAACTTTGGGAGTAGCACACAAGTCAATTTTTTTTTGCTGGCACATGAAAACTATTCTTGGCACTACGGTGCTTGTAGGTTAAGTCACTCCGCAATTTTCCACCTATTCTTTAATCGTTTTCAAAAGTATTCCAGAGACACATCCGTTAGGGACTTTGGTTTTACAAGTCTGTTTCATGTCTTTAGGTTCTGTAAATGGTGTGTCAGTTCGATGTTGTAGTGATAAGCAAACATTTAATTAAATTATTTAAAAAAAAGTAGAGAGTTTAAAATTCTGTGTAATGGACAGCAAATGAATGCAGACTTGTTCATTTGATCGAATGTTATTCGAGTCTGAAGTTAAGTGAAGTTAAATGAAAGAATATGTTAAATGGATGGTTAGGTTGAAATATTACAGGTAAATGTGATTATGGTAAAATGAATGACAGAATAAAGAAATAAAACTAAATCTGCATTCAAAAAGATGTCCAATTTGTTTAATAATTGTACAACGTTACAAACGGAGCAAACTGATTAGATTTAAATTTATATTAAATTTCAATGTTCCAGAAATATTACAGGAACGTTATGTGCTGTAGGCCTATATTTTATGAGTTTTATGTACATGTAGGACCTACATTTTGCTAATAAATCGTTTCAATTCATTTTAATTATGCATATTTTGTATGAACATTCTTCAATGTAGTAGGCCTATCTCTCCGCCATTTCGTCGTATTCATTCGTATCGTTGCATCCTTGTAAAACCTAATTCCGTGACTGGCATGGTATCGAGGTGTTCTTTGTGTCAGTCGAAATTTCAGTGTCCGCTCTCTCCAGTGCATTTAGTATCTCTCCGTCTTTTTGGCGTAAGTATTTGCATGTTGCATCCTTAAGAACTAAGTATGTGGTGTCCATGTAAGTATCCTTGGGTCCGTAGAGTTGTAGTTTGGTAACTGTCGTAAAGCCACTCATTATCGGTCGACGGTCCAACGACCGTTGGCCGACGATTCAGTACCGGTATCTACTTTCTGAGCGGTTGACAATGCAACACCGTCTGCTTATTTTAGCTGCCGCTTTGAGCGAATCATTAAAATGATCGTTGTCGAGTAATTTTCTCCATTAATTTATCTGAAATTACAATAAAATGTTATATTAAAATCTTAATGGTCAATAGGTGTGCACTTGTATAGGCCTATTGTACTTTTCAGTACAACGGAAAAGAAAGGTTATGTTGAAATATTAACAGTAAATGTGATAATGGTAAAATGAAAGACGGAAAGAAAAATAAATCTGCGTTCAAAGAGATGTCCAACTTGATTGCTAATATTGCCCCGGATTTTACAAACGGAGCAAATCGATTATATTTTAATTTATATAAAAGTTGAATATTCCAGAAATATTGGCCTACCGTTAAGTATTATTATGTACAGCTGTACTGTATGTTTGTTAAGCTTATAAATTACAATTTTCTTAATTTTGGCATGATCGTTTAAGTTCATTTTAATTGTGCATATCTTGTATGTATATTCTTCAATGTATTTATTATACGTCAGGTACTTAGTATATCTCCGTACAGCGTCAATTCGCATCATGAAGTAATTCTGTGACTGGATGCTGTCGAGCTATTATTGGGTCCGGGGAGTTGGAGTTAGCATACCGGCCATAAAGCTTCGCCATAGTATCCGCTTTCTGAGAGCGATTGACGACGCCACGCCGTCGCCTGGTTATTGTCGGGCCAACTTTTGAGGGAATCATTAAAGTGATCGTTGTGCGACTGGTCGCGTAGCGTCTCCATATCATTTACGGTATCTGAAATGACAATACAATGTTATGTTTATATTTTAAAATATTGATGATCCGAAATAGGAAACGAAGGAGAAAGTGGAAGAGAAAAAAAAATAAACAAATAAAAAGGAAAGCGAATATAAAATACAGGAGAGTGAAGAAGAATTTAGAGATTTAGAGATCAAATATAAATGAATTTAAATGACGCTTAACAAAGTAGGACAGCACAGTACAACTCAAAGCATGCATAAGCATGGTTGAAAAGAAACCAGTTCCACACTCCAAAGGTACCAATCGTACCAATATCTGAAATGACAAACCTTACTCCAAAACCTTGAAAGTGGCTACATCATAACAAAAGTAAAAAATAGGCATGTTTGAGAACACCGAGACTCCGTAGATCCGAAAATACTGTACTAGTAAAAATAACACAGCAAAATATCACACAAACATAATTATGATTGACAAGAACAGTTTCTGTATATCCAGACAGGAGAGCCCATACCATACCAACAAGCATAATCTGTAATTAAGAATAAAGAATACTTTAGTAATTGAAATGTAAGCAAGTGTACATCAAACACAAAACATCTCTTTCAATAAACGTTTACAATATAGTACAATATAGCAAAATTGTTTAAATAAAGGTGAATCGGGCAAAGTTTGTTCATCAATCAAAGCTTATTCTACGATACCAAGTAAAGAGACAAAGACACCATGTTTTTTTTATATTTTATTACAACAATTTGAATCGCGGTTACAATATTATCGCGGATTTCAACAATCGCGGATTATAAAGGCCTATTACCATGCAGACTATGACATGTTTCACACAATAAGAAATACTTAAAAAGAATAATTGAAATGTGAGCAAGTGTATGTTCAAACACAAAACACCTCCTTCAATAAACGTTTACACTAGAGTACAATATAACAATAATGTTTAAGTAAATAAAGACGAGTCAGACAAAGTTTGTTCAATTTTATTTCAAAATTTTCTAAACCAAGGGGACAATATGAAAGAATAGGGTCACACATGCAATTCAAATAGGCCATAGGCCTATATTCATAATTTCAAACCCACTATGATCAAACTCATTAATCAAAGTTTATTCTACGATACCAAGTAAAGAGACAAAGACACCATGTTTGTTCATATTTTATCTTATTTTATTACAACAATTTGAATCGTTGTTACAATATTATCGCGGATTTCAATAAACGCGGATTGACTATGGCATGTTTCACACAATAAAAATAAATTAATTTATAATATATAAGCAAATTAAGTTACAAGAAGTACACTATATAGCACTTGCTTGTCTAATACAATGTTCATGCAAATCAGATATAATCGCATCTTTTTATGAATAGTAACGATGTATGTGAAAGATGATGATGTAGAAAGTATACAACCCCGTTTGTAACTCTGAAAAACAATAAACACAAGAAGTAATGTTTATTAATGCTATTAGGAAGATTTACACGTCTGTATTTTTTGAAGTACACTTAATTGCAGGCAGCACCTGCTACCCGTTATCGAGTGACCTAAAAACTAACAAGAATAAAATAATAAAATAAACAATATTTATGAGGTATTTACATAATTTGGTTTACAAAAGTGTTGCTGTGTGCGGGTGGACAAGCTGAAATTCGAAAGGTGGTTAGTTCTTACTTGGTTTGATGCTTGGATGCTCGAAGCGATGTCTTGCTGCGTTAGTCGCTTACCTGTTGTTGAGTCCTTTAGTTTTCAGACAGTGTGCTTCGGGATACTTAATTTGCACAACTGGTTTATCATGTATTGTATACATCATAGGCCTAAGTGTTAATGTTGTATATTTTGTAAATATGGATTGTTGAGTTCTGTGTTGTGTGATGTTTGTTTCTGTATTTTGAACAGACCCCCCTTAGAAAAAATAATGTATAGAATTGCTATAGTACAGGCCTGCTATAGTATACTTCTAAAGAAGTGTATAAACCCTATTGAAGATTTGTAGAATATCCATAGGCGTTTATTACATTATAAAATGTTTCATGTAAGAAACATTTCAATAACCTATAATTTTCCATTAATTTCAATAGCATTCTCTAACCTCTTATAGAGTTCTTATAGAATTCGGTAAACTACTTTGCTAAGAAACGTTTATAAAAAAAAAAAGACATAACATAGGCCTACTTAGTAAAATAATTTACTGAATTTATAGCATAACTTCTATAGAAGTCTTTGATCTTATTGAATATTTATAGAATATCTATAGGTTTCATAATACATTCTTAAACCAACCTATAATGTTCCATCAGTTTCAATAGCATTCTCGTAAACCTCCTATAGTGTTTCTATAGAATTCCGTCAACTATTTTGCTAATGGCGAGACCTGTATTTATAATATTCACTCGGTGTGCATCGGCATACTTAAGTTGCAGAACCGAGTTATCGTCAATCTTGCCGGCCTAAGTGTTAGTTCATTGAATACATTTCATTTAATAAGTACATTATCAAATGAATAAACAAACCATTAGCAAAATAATATATTGAATTTCTATTGAAATAATTACATTTAGGTTTATGGATCTTATTGATATTGTAGAACATCTATAGGTTTTAATTTAAATTAAATTTAAAATTAAATTTAAATAACTACATTTTTAATATAACGTATAGAGTTCTACCAATCTTCGTAGTATTCTAGACCTCTAAAAGAGTTCTTATAGAAGTCTATGAACTACTTTCTAAGGGAATGTTCTGTACAAATTCACAATAATCAACCAGTGTGCTATAGCATACTTAAGTTGCACAACTGGATTATCAAGCCTGTTTATCAATTCTACATTACATAGGCCTACATACATTAATAATCATATTTGAAGTTACACTAATAATCATATTCGAATATTTATTAAGATATGTCAAAATATTAGAGAGATGTCGATGCGACGACGGTGGCAATAACACCACATAGAATCCAGTTCTCGTTTGTCCGTAACTACGACGTAACAAATTTGTGTTGTGATCGAAAGCCCTACAATTTATCGTTGTGTAACAACAAGAGTTAGTAATCTGTGGAGAAAACATGACATTTTAACCAAGAAGTTATTAAAACATAACTTCTTGATTTCATCATGGGTTTAAGTTCTTACTATGTTTGATGCTTGGATGCACGTCTTCAAGTCTGGTGAAGAGGATAACAAGGTGTAAACGTCAAGAGACTCCAGTGGACAGATACAAATTTAAATAATTTTGTTTCTTATCTAAATATTTTGAGACTCGTATTTCTGGTGGATTACGTAAAGTTTAAAGAATGGAATCCAACATCTGTAAATACAAATAAAAAGAACATAAACGGCAAATCTACCAGGTTTCTCACCATAACACAGTAGACCAAGAAGGGTCATTATTGAAGTTGGTTTGCATAAAAATTGTTAAGGTATCCTTTGCACCGTATCCTTTGCACCGCACTTCACATATACTTTTTGTCTGGGGTCAATTATTTAAAATTCACTTGTTCCTTTTTATTGTATTGTAATTGTTTTCATTATGAAGAAATATTTTTTCTTCGAAATTGCAATATAATATTTTTTGTATCATAATCGTAAAGATTCTGATCACCTTGCAAAATGTATGTCTCACAATCGAATACTTTATACACTGCATATTATTTTGACATGCCATAGTGCATTAATATAGCAAGATTGACGTTTAATTTTTTAATCATGCCAGCTCCACCAATCAACACCTCGGACTTCCGTAAAGTTGTCGTAACAATATCACGGCCCATTATATATTATTTATATGATTATTAATGCACGATGCCTTGATTATGATCCGTCCCTTCAAATGTGATCTTCATTATCAAGATACTTTTGGACCTGAATATTTCGGGTGGTCTCGGGGTGCGGTCTCCACTTTGAGTGTTTGCTTTGTGCTAAAAGACTGATTAATATTTGGTTCTTTAAAAGCTAGGGGTCTCAAATTGGATGGTGTACTGTGTTCTATTTTTAAAAACTGTTTATTATTCCTCATTCTAATTGGATAGAAAGAAGTAGGAAAATAACATTCAATAAAAATTAAGAATTCGAAAAAAAAATCAGACCCGTCACAAAACAAACGCAACACAATACAATATATTGACCCTACTGGATCCGCCTCTGACATGCCCGTTATAGATTAGTGCAATGGCGTAGCTACAGTGCAGGCAGCACAAAGCACTGGGGCTGAGGGCTATTAGGGGCCAATTTATAAATAGACCTAAAAATAATAATTTAAAATAATTTCCAACTTAATTTTGAAGAAAAATACGACCAGAGGACCATTCAATAATAAATATATTCGGTTTTTAGAAGAGTAATTATTGATTACTGTGTTGATTTCAATTAAGTAGTGTATTCAAGAGGGCCCTACCCCAATTCTTTGTTAAATGGGAAAAAAAGGAAATTATATTAAATATTATATGTTTGAGAGTGCCATTTCCGGCCATCTAAATATGTTTTTTTAAAGTAAAATAATAGTTTATACCAAAAGTGTAGTTCTGTTTTTGCATTTTCGATTTTTGTAGTGTAACCTACCGGTATATAATATTGGACTAATCAATCATGCCGTGATGAACAAGTGTACTGCGCCCGTCCCCTTTTCCAGTTCTATCAGCAAATTTTGGACAACATTGAAATAAAATGACTTTCTCCGGTTCATGAATTATCCATGCATTCTTATGTCTTTTATTTCTCAAATAAAATGATTGACTTACCGTACTTACAGAATACACGTCCACTGTCATCTCCATCAGATCACACCCTCCTCCCTCCTTCGCTGACATTTAAAACAGGAATGAAGGACAATGAAATCTTTCACATTCTCTCGTTTTCACTTAATTACCTGTATTCAAAATAGTTTATCGCCAAATAATTACATTCTATCTGACATGTAGAAAAACAAAACTCAAGTGATTGTTATCACTATCACCTGGTTTCCGACATGCAAATTTGTTCTTTTTCGATGTCACGCGTGAAACACGTAATTATTATAGCTATATGACATTTTAATTTATACTCAAATTACAATAAATTTTCAATGTTAATAATATACAGTATGTGTGTTTCTTGTAAGTTATTAATGTTTATTCAATAAATAAGAACATAAGTACCATATGTGATCGCAGGCATTTACCAAATGGTTTAAAGCAATCCGAAGGGGAAAATGATATGTCTAAATGGGCTCTATTCTAGGACATTGACAAAGTACCGGTATTGGATAAATAATTGCGATAGAAGATAATAAAACAACATATCAACATTTTTCCTCCAAGTCCTTTTAAATGTGTTATCAGTATTTTACAATTTACACATTATACCTGTACCTTCTGTGGCATTTTAAAAGGGTATACTAAATAATAAAAATTAAATATTTTAATTTTGTTAGTTTATTAGTCGTTTTAATTTGGAACTTTCCCTGGCTACTAATCATGTGTACGATTTTAATAATACAGTTCATACAGGGGCGAATCCAGAGATGTCCAAAGGGGTGGTGGTGCGGTGGTGGCGAAAGTTGGGCCGATCGAGACAACACCGATCTAAGTGGTCGCCGCGAAATTTTTGTGTTCTAGACGCCCGAAAATAACATTTGAGGGGGTTTTTTGAGAAAATGTCATCTATTTTTCATAGCTACCTTCTAGACCCCCGGATCCCTCTTATTGGTACCTCTGGAAAAATAAAAACATTGAGGAAAAGCTCCCCCTTAAAAAATATCATAACGAGGATAACAGTGTCAAATTTACAGTGAAGTTCACTCATACTGACTGACCAGTCTCACAATTTTATTCCAACCACTGAGCATGTTTCGAACACTACTATACACCAAACTGACACACTATTACGTAAGATAAAGACAGCCAAAACAACACACAGAGCTTTAAAAGTAAATAGACATTAGGAGTGGATATGTAGCATTCTTGGAAAATCAAAGACAACACAACGCTCACAAAAACTTTATGACAAACATATTAGTTTGTGGCAAATCAGTTGTATGATATTGCAAAATAATTTATAACGTGTACAATTTGTTTAATTATATTAGAATAACTACAAAAATTAAATTGTTGAAAATAATAATCTCTTTCATGCACGTCATTAATTGTGTTTAAATTATTTCAGCAGGATTGGAAACTATAAATGGTGTCCCGCATTTAAATAGTGTTTCAAACAATACTGGAAAAATGAATTTACGCAATTCGGTACATGTTTATTGTTTTGAAGTTTAATTATTATACCATTTATCAGTACGTAGGCTGATAAATGACTGTCGCAATTAACCTATGCACCATTCCCTGTGAAAATCGTCACATTGTATGCCGCCCTCTGTGTTAGAGAAAGTTCTGAGAGTCGGTGAAAAAAAATTGTTAGAGATCGCTGCGTTTATTTATTTTTTTGTATATTGCATTGTATGGTAATGTTCTTTCTTCCTCCGAATTCTTAGTTTAACGTATATAGCGACTACCACCATCTTTCACACGAAGTACTCTCAAACAGAACACTTTGAACACACGTCTCATCACTGATTTCTAACAGGGTCTGGATCTGTTACACAGTGTATCCATGTTAATATTTACGGAAACTTCAACACTACTATACAAGCCGAGGAGATTTTCGAGATTCCACTTCCACTCTAGCCTGCGTGGGCCTTAGTGTGGGTTACTCAGTAAATTCTGTGCAATATGATCTTTTCAACTTTTCTATTTTTTTTGTTCTTTGTTTCAGTACCATCCTCATCCAACTTAAGTCGCTCGTTGGCGTCGCTGTCCAGAATGATGAAAATAATATCTCTTGTCAGTTAGCTCACAATGCCAGGGGCAATATAGTGTTGTTAGCTTGTTTATATCTCATTTTACAATTACGTTATGTTAAAAAAATATTCGAAATAACAACATAATAATGATACAGATAACGATATTTTTATTCATTAAGATAATGATAATAGTAATAATAAAAATGATGATGATGATGGATGATGATAACAATGAAAGATTTTTTATTCGTTTTCATTCAAACACAGGCCTATGTAAACACATTTGTAAGGTAATGATAGAAATTGTTCTCGAATACAAGAACAATTAAATGATGTTGATATCGTATCAAAAAGGTGTGTGTACGAAATCAATGTTGCTTAAAGAAAAAAGTAAAATGTATAAAACATTACTTTAGTCACGACTTGGTATTCAGACATTATAAATCATGAAGTTAAATGACAGTGTCTCGTATCATTGGACCTAGGCAGTATCGTTACCTATTTTTTGAGGACCTGCGGAGCGTGACTGATGCTCGTAAACATTTCTGTTTAAAAAGTGTTACTCCAATTCTACGCATTTCTCGAGCGTTATCAGCTTGACGTCACCAATCATAAACACGGCGACCGTTTATTGACGTGTTTGTAACCACTTCAGGGTTGTCTACATTCCTTCATGATACTCATTATCAACATCAGTCAAGAGTGTTCACTTCATTGTGTTGTAAACCGGGCCAAAACAATGCAACCGCCAACCGGGAGCAAAACACGTATCACGTACAAGTTCCCTAGAAGTAGGTCATTTCTTATTACTGCTTGGCGTTTTGCGCATTGGATTCCGTTGACGCACGCACAGCATGTACTGCTGACACACTTCGCGTCAACACCAAACGTGTAGCGGGATGTTTAGTGTGAATTCAGTATATCGTACAAGTTTGATGGACATATTGATAATAACATGACAAAGTTTATCAACTAGACTATAGGCTGTAACACAGAAATTAGATAATGAACTGTTGTGCCACTCTGGTGACGCTTTGATATCTGTAATCTTAAGGTTCACTCTCGGATTTGATGAGTAATTTTATTTGTTTGATATAAATGTTGAATTCACCAATAATGCACTTGTTTTTTAAATAATATGTTGCAATCTTCAATTGAAAATAAAAACAGAATTTTCTTTTTGAAAAGTTATCGTTCTTTTTAGCATTCATGTAATTTATTAAAACATTATGTAATGACATGTCTAAGTAACTAATTTTCCTCGAGATTTGTCTTGTAGTAACTTTGTACAGTAAATGTTATTAGCTTCTAAATTAGCAACTCAATATTTTATTATTAGAAGTTTTGAGAGATTTTCCGAAAAAATGTAGTTTTTGCACAATATGGGTCACTATTTTGTCTGTCTAATACTAGACCAGTACCGGTCTAATGAATTTCCCTCTGGTTGAAATTCTACGCTGATTCTACCATATTTTATACTATCAGGCAAATATTAGGCCAACAAATTTTTTTTTCGGGAAAAATATTAATGAATGATATCAATATAAATTAATATTTTATTTTTATGGTAGCTTAACCCCTGTTTATTTGTAAGGTCATGAAATAGAAAACCAAGCCAACAAACCAACTTCTCAGCTCAAGTAGGATATCTTTAACCACAGTCACGCTTTAATAAAGATAACATACTCAAACATTTGAATAGGCCTACTGTTTAGCGTCATGCCAATCAGAAATCAAATGCCAAAACTATTGGTCTGCTACATGCGTGGTTGTGGCGTTTCCACGTAGACCCCGAAAAAGGGATATTTATAATGAAGCCTCCATATTTCACTCTACCCAACCAAGAAATATATATTTCCTAAATGACCCAACTGGTCTCCTATGCGTTCCTAGACCCCCGATAGATGCCCGGGCATCTATATGTGTAAAAGCATTAAGATTACGGTATAACGTTAACGCATAGTAGTATCATGGTAAAAGAAAAACTGATAATTTATATAATTTTTAAAAAAGAATATTAACCATTAACTAAATAAAAATACTGTAGGTTCCAGGGGCGGATCCAGAATTTTTCAAACGGGGGGGGGGGGGGGGGGGGGGGGGGGGGGGTACAATGCCCTAGCAATGTTGTTCGCATGCTGCCAGTCAATGCACCTAGTGGAAAACAGGCTAAGCGTCGTGCGGTCCGATTACATAGTGCGCAGCGCTATTTCATGTGGGTCACACTAAAAATCGACTGGTACAAGCATTTATATTGCGACTGTGTGAACTGCGTTAACTCTGGTTTGATCCGTTTGCGTTGAAAAGTGCCTGAACTCTAGAAAAAAATGTAACCGTTAACACTGTTAAATTATATATAAAAAAGGGGTTATCTACATTCCTCCATTACCTGTCTTTTTATACACATCTAGATGTGTATAAGAGACAGCTGTTACACAGTGTATCCATGTTAATA